GAGCTTTGTAGGCTCCTAATTAATCAGGACAGGGAATCATGGTGACCTCGCTGCTGGCTGCCTGCTCCTAACACGTGTGCCCTGTTCTGAAAGTCCAACTGAGCAGAGAGCCTGGGGGTAGGAAGAGGAAGGAAGGAAGCCCTGCCGTTTGTTTGGTACCTGCCACGTGCCAGTCGCTATGCCAACAACTCAACGGAGTAGAAATGTATTCCCACTTTACAGATGAGTGGACTAATGCCTAGAAATTTAATCAACATGCTCAAAGCCGTACAAAAAGCAAAAGAAATAAGTGGGATTAAAACCTGACAGCAAAGCTCTGGGTCTATCCATCGCCACTTGGTGTCTTTATTCCTTTCGGTTGGCTGGGGTAAGAACATGATGGCAGTATTTGTATCACTGAGAGTGTATGAGTAATACTGGAGTCAGGAGAAAGACCCAGGAGGAGACTGAATTATCTCTTACTCTGTCATTGGCATTTGGAGACCTTTGTTATGGTTCTGGCTCTGTTGCTTTCCAGGTTTCTGATTTTAAGCTAACTTTAAACTAACTTGTTCTTTTGTAAGGGCTGCTGTGTCTGGTTGCACTGCTGTGCCCAAGTGCACTGCACAAAAGCACTTGGCTGATAGAGTATGATCATCAGCCTTGAAAAAAGGCTGCAATTTGCCCAGAGGGGCCATATAGGCTAGCATTGGCCCCGACTTTAGTTTTTTGTTTCTGACAAGTTAATTTTTTAAATTTTATACTTGAAACATAACTGATTTTACATATTTATGGGGTACAGAGTTCATTATCAGTATTTGTGTACAATATATGATGATCAAATCAGTATTATTAGCATGTTCATAAGTACAAATTGTAGTTATTCTTTGTGTCCTTTACCCACTTGACTTTAAGTTTTCTTATCTTCAGTCTAGGTAAAATCATCAGTGTGGAAGAGTATTATCATTTGAATAAGTGAAAAAGCTAGTTGTATTTTGTGTAACATATTATAGGAACTCTCTTGTTTTGGGGGGCCAATGTCATCTGTGAAGAAATATCTCCCAAGGTGTTACAACAGCAGCAAAGAGGACTACATCTTTGAATTTTATAGAATGAAGATTCGATTCCTGCCTTTAGACTTGCTAATTTTATGATCTTGGGTAAGTTACCTCTAGAAACTTTTCTATATCTGTAAAATGGGGATAATGATAATACCTACCATACAAGGTTGTAAAATTTTCATGAGTTAATATTTGTAAGGCTTTTTAAGCAGAACCTGACAGGGCTCACATTTATTGAGAACTTACTACTGTGATTGTTATTTGCCGTTTATATCTTTGTGTTTCCCTGTTATAAGTTCTGGAGCTTCCCTCATAAACAGTTCGTATGTTGTCAATTAAGCAGAACCTGACAGGGCTCACATTTATTGAGAACTTACTACTGTGATTGTTATTTGCCATTTATATCTTTGTGTTTCCCTGTTATAAGTTCTGGAGCTTCCCTCATAAACAGTTCGTATGTTGTCAGTTTTGAGTTTTCACCCTTGGATATGCTAGCCGATTTCTCTGCAATGCTTTTTCTGTTGGCAGGACTTGTTATCACCTGGCTCAAATTGACTTATACAAAACAAACAAAAAGACTGACATTACATAAAGCTAGATCCAGAGGTTCAAATGATGTTAGAGGATGCAGGACTTTCTTTCCATCAGGTAACTCTGTTTTCCACTGCATCGGCTTCATGTATGGGCAGGGTTTTCCAACTCTATAGGCCTAGTAGCCCCTGGCTTACCCTTTCATTTATTCTTCAAGTTCAGCAGAAGTCTGTTTTGTCTTCCCAAGTAACCAAACAAAAATCCCTGAACTGAGCCTGTTTGCCTTCTTGGAATATGTGTTTATCCCTGAGTCAGACACTGGCCACACGAGGCATGCTTGGATTGGCCAGGTCTGGGGCACCTGCCTGCTCCTGGGTATGGGGTATGGTCCTGGTGTCAAACAATGTTCAGAACGGGTGACAGGTTGTTCCTTAAAGGAAAATTAGAATGCTGTTGCCAGAAGAAGGGAGAAAGGGTATTGGGAAGGTAAAAATGATGGATTCCCACTACATTCCCCCTGCTTTTTCCTTTTGCTATTGGCCTTTGAAATTTATGAACAAGATGAACCATCTTACAAGAATATTTCTTTAAGCCATTGGACAAAATGGATTTACACAGTAGCTTAGAGAAATGTAAAGTAGTGGAGAAAACAATGGTTTGGAATTTTTCTAATTGTTCATCTGCCTCAAGTAAGTTGTGTGGCCATTGACAAACATGCATCTTTAAAGTGAGGAGGCTGGGATCCATCTTCAAGTATGCTTCCAGCTCTAATGTTCTATGATGTTCGTGAAATAATGCTCATCACTAGCAATCACTGGTAACTTTTGGGTTTTTTTCATCTGAAAGTGGAGAATGCGCCTGCTTTGACAAGCTTTGGAATATCATATCTATGACCAGTCACTTTTAAAAAACAGAAAGGGAGCACTTATACAAGATGTCAGCTTTTCTCTAGATTTTCCTAGAGTAAGACCCCCAAATCCTTAATAGAAAATGTTGTTAGGAGTAAGGAGGGTTTTTATCTTTTACCCCATTCTTCTCTCTCCTCCCCCTTTGCCTCCATGTAGGAAGAACAGGAGAGAGGAGCTAGTATTCACTGGAATGGAGGTAACTCTCAGGGTGATCTTGGAAGTTATATACTGAAGACAGCAAAACCACTTACCCTGGTTTCCTGGATGACTGTATGGAGCAGGACCTCCTCCCACCCATCCTTTGTGCCCACCCATCCCAACTGATTTGGAACAACCATGGACTGTTATGTGAGCAAGAAATAATCTTCTGTTGTGTGGACCCACTATGTATTTGGTTTAATTTCTCACTGCAGCCTAATACAGCCTAATGCAAAGTATTAAGAATTTTGGAAGAGGATAAGGCTGGTTAGAAATAATAAACCACAGCTGTACATATTGGCCCGCACTGTGCTGGTTTTATTTTTATCAAATTTGCTGCCAATTGATTTTAGATAAAATCCAGATTTCCAAAAGCTCTTAAAAAATTAGAAGCATGTGGCAATTCTTTGACAAGATTAGAAGAACTGGCAATATTGAAATTTCATTCCCCCATGAGGGCAACTTTCTGAAGCTCAGTAGCAGTTCTGGGGATGGGACTCATACTCTCAAGGTGCCTTCAGTTCCTACCATGGCCTCTAATTCTCCCTGATGAGGCTGGCTTCACTCTTATTTTTCCTGACCTCTGTAGGGATTTGAACTTAGACATTTCTAATCTAAAGGGTGAGTCACCGAGTGCTCAGGGCTGCCACTGAAACAGTAGCTACCATGAATATAAAAGCTCACAAACCTCTGACTGCAGTACTGTAAAAGTTGTGTACACAAAACATGGTGTTAAAAAAAAGTCTTACATTGAAGAATCTGGCATGAGTACTTTTCTAGAACTTTCTATGTCCTAAAATGGGAAATGTATGTGATTGTTTAAAAGTTCATGGTATCAACCAAACTAAAGCTGAGCAATTTGCTTCATGGACAGGGAGGATGAAAGTGCGGGGTGTGTGGTGGGCCTTTACTGAGAGGGAATTTCCATCAGCATGATTTCATGGGAAGGACAAGCACCAAGCAGCCTGCATTAGCTTCTGTATTTTTTCCAGTGCAAAGGAAAATAATTCTCTGTCCTGCTGATCCTGGCACACTGAGCTTCAGTTCTTCTTAATTTAAATCCTTTCAAATATTTAGAGAAGATACCGTGTAAAACCCTCAGTCATTTGCCATTGAGGACATGAGGATGACAGGGTGAACTAGGAGGGGAAGTCTCCCTTGGGGGTGGTGCTGCAAGGAAGGCACCACCTTCCTACCCACCTACCTGCAAGAAGCACTTACTTTTTCTCAAACTGGGGAACCATGTAAATGGTGGTGTGGTGAGGAGGTTATTCAGAAGCAGAAAATAACCCTGTGTGTTCTATCATTTTTTAGATATGGTCTTCTGGTTGGAAAGCCTTTCTGATGCCAGAAGGCACTCAGAATCTCATCTGTCCCCGACTCTCTTGTCCCCTCACGTGCACCACTGGTCAGCACCACCCTGAGGTTTGGTCTTTCTGCCTTGGCTGTGGGACTGTTCCTGGTGCTGTACCACCGGCTCCCCCTCTAAGCCTGCAGTGCTGGTGTTCACACTGCAGGTTGTGCTTGTGTGTGTTTCTCACTTATTACATCTCTTAAATTCAATTAGTGCCCTCATGCTGTGGGAGACCAGCCCACTCTCTGAGAGCAAGAAAAAGATAACTTCAGAGCTTGTCTATGGCCCTGTCTCAGTGTTTTCATGGAGCCCTTCTCTCCCCACAATTTAAATTCAGTTCACGGCAAGGGTCACAAATCAGCGTTTGTTGGAATGCATTATGAAGAAATAAACATTTATCAAATTGTTTTTTGAGAAGGTGAATAATTTAGCAAGAAAAAAAAATTACCACTACCATTACAACAAAATTGTGCTGCTGACTGACAATTTATTTCATTCCTCTGAGATGCAAGGAACTGAAGCATGCTGAGTGAATATTGATCAGCTGGATGCAGATAAATGGAATTCCTTATAAGTCATGGCTTACTAACTTGTTGCCAATTAAGAACCAAAAAACAGTTAAAATGCCCCCCTTGGTATGAGTAAGGACCCTGGTGTTCGCTGCTGACCAGGATTGCTGGCTTATTATTGCCAAGTTATTGTTTAATCATGAATTATTGTAGGAGTACTTGAGAGAGGTCTTACTTTTTGGTCTGTGTAATGTTCTATTCCTTCTTGAGGAATGTTCTTCTGAATATCTATTATTATATTTTCTTATATTTTTTAGGCACTTGAACAGCATTAAGCACCATACCATATCTTTTATATAACTGATCTAATTTAATTCTCCTAACAGTCCTTCATGATAAGTCCTATTATTTTAATTTCACCCATGGGAAAACCAATGCTCAGAGAGGTGAATGCACTTCCCCTGGGGCCACACAGTTTGTGAGTGGCAAAGAAAAGGGTTGTGTATGGTTCGGTCTAATTCCAAAGCCTTTGCTCATAAATACAATCCCATTCCATATTATTCCAGACATAAACCCCTTATGATTAACTCTGAACCATCCTCCAGGAAAGTTCATGATTTGGGCAGTCCATAATGGCATCTCTCTTTCCAGCAAATGGGGAAAAAATGAGACTTTTTCTAAAGTTAGAAGCAATAGCTTCTGGAAACTCGCATAGGGAGGCCTGCACATGTGAAGAGAGCAGGCTGCTTGTCTGGCGTTTCATCCAGCTCACTGGGCACTCGGGAAACACCTACTGTGTGTTCTTTGTGTGAGGGCAAAGACAGAACAGTGAGAGATTATGGGCATCTGACTGGATTGTAGGGCAGTGAGAGACTGTAGGCAATGGAATCAACTGCACAGTGTTGAAGTTGCACAGCGTTGCACAGTTGATCACATTAAATACCTAGTGTTGGGTGAGTATCTCAGCTCTCAGCCTATTTCCTGAGCTGGTAAATGGAGCTGATGGTACTTACCATGTGGGATATTTGCCTCTGTGCTCTCAGAGCCATTCTTCACCCTTCCTCATCTCTGAACCACAGTGGAGGCTGACACCTGCAAACTCTCTTCTCAGCTGGCTTATTCTGGGTTTGGTCAAAGGAAAGTACTGACGGGAGAGTAGAGGAGTGGAGGAAGAGAGGGGATAGAGTATTTCTTCCTCTCTCGGTTTTGTGCACCCTCTCTGGCAATAGCTGCATCTCTTTCTACTGCTCCAGTTCCCACTGGACAAGTTGGCCATGGCTTCAGCTTCCCTAATGGTATTGACCCAGGACTCTGGTGACATGCCTTCTCCCTTGTCTTTCCTGCCCGGGGTCACAGCTTCCTGTTTTTACTAAATACTGGGTAGCCTTACCATTCCTGTTGGTTTTCTCAACTCTCCATCACCTGTGTGATTTCCTGCATTAAATTTCCTATATTTGAAACAGAGTGGTTTCCCTTTTTCTGACTAGACATTGACTGATAAACCCACCTTTCAGCAGTCCTAGGATGGAAGGAAGAAATGCATTTAAAGCACGTAGCATGTAAGAGATACTCAGTAAACTTCAAAATGCTTCGGGAAAAAGGAATAGTGAGGAAGATAAAAATTAAAAGAATTATGATATAGTAGATTGTAAAAAAGACAGTAAAAAGTGATTCGGGTGGAAGTTCAGACACTTGGGTTTAACTTCTGGCTCAGAGTTTAGCCATCTGTGAGAATTCAGGTGAATATCTTAAGTGCTCATGGCCTTAGCTTTATATACCCGACAAATAAGACATTCAGAAAATAAAGTATTTCCCAGCTACAAAAATGAAACATATTAATTCAGTTGAGGATAAATGGTGGGGATCAGGGAGAACTTCATGAAGAGGGGAAATTTGGCTGAGTCCTGAGAAATGATTAACGCAGCAGCTATAGATGCCACAGCAAGACTGGACAGCTGGTCAGAGAATAAACATTCTAGACAAGGGCATTGGAAGAGATTGTGTTAGAAAACTAGACAGCTCTATACACGATCCAAAGAGGACCAAGTCTTTTGCAGATAGTTAGGTGTCTCTAATCAGGAGAGAAGGGAAACATATGAAGACATTCCCAAATTCCTTTCACCCCCTTTTTTTTCCTTAAATAGACTAAGAGGGGAAATTTGGCTGAGTCCTGAGAAATGATTAACGCAGCAGCTATAGATGCCACAGCCAGACTGGACAGCTGGTCAGAGAATAAACATTCTAGACAAGGGCATTGGAAGAGACTGTGTTAGAAAACTAGACAGCTCTATACACGATCCAAAGAGGACCAAGTCTTTTGCAGATAGTTAGGTGTCTCTAATCAGGAGAGAAGGGAAACACTTGAAGACATTCCCAAATTCCTTTCACCCCCTTTTTTTTCCTTAAATAGACCTAATTTTTTAGAGCAGTTTTATATTCATAGCAAAATGGAGCAGAAGATACAGAAAGTTTCCACACACGCCCTCCCCTCTCCATGTACACACAGCTTCCTCCATGATCAGTGCCACCACCAGAGTGGTACATTTGTTACGGTTGATAAACCTACAATGACACATCCTTATGACCAAAGTCCGTAGTCTACATTAGGGTTCACTCTTGGCACTGTGCATTCTGTTGATCTGGACAAATGTGTCCACCATTATAGTGTCGTACAGAGCAGCCTCACCGCCCTGAAAATCCCCTGTGCTCTGCCTATTCATCCCTCCCTCCCCCCAGCACCCGGCAGCTACTGATCTTTGTACCATACCTACAATGACACATCCTTATGACCAAAGTCCGTAGTCTACATTAGGGTTCACTCTTGGCATTGTACATTCTGTGGATCTGGACAAATGTGTCCACCATTATAGTGTCGTACAGAGCAGCCTCACCGCCCTGAAAATCCCCTGTGCTCTGCGTATTCATCCCTCCCTCCCCCCAGCACCCGGCAGCTACTGATCTTTGTACCAGCCCCAGCATTTTTCTTCTTCCGGAATGCCATTTAGTTGGAATCATACAGTACATAGCCTTTTCAGATTGGCTTCTTTCACCTAGTAACGTGCACTTACAGTTCCTCCATGTCTTTTCTTGGCTTATTTGAAGCCATTTTTAAAAGGAAACTAGATTTCTGGGTGTTAATTTTGGGTTTTCACATCATGCCTGCCCCCCACCCCCAGGTCAGTGCTCCCCGGCCACTGTAGACAAGGGTTCTCTGGGCTGGATAGCACCGGAAGGAAAACTATCTAGAAGATGCTCTTTGGCTCCATTTTCCACTCACACTGTCAGCCTCTACAAGATGTGGCTGACAAGATGTCCCTTCCCTTAAATTCCCTATT